ATGTCTCCATATATTCATATGTGTCCGTGTATGAATTTAGAATGTCAAAATATAACACAATATTAAATTTGTATAAAACTAATTAAAAGAAATACAGAATACGATTTGTTTATATACCAAGGATCCATAATATGAATTTAATATGATGTCATAATTCGTTAGACACAAATTAATAAATAAAACGAAGGTGTAGAATATCGTTTTATATAAACTCATTAAAATCTAATAAGAATTCATCTCATCCGACCCAACTGGGAGAACTAATATGAACATGCATGTATCTATGTAAGCCATAAACAAATGTGCACAAAGAGAGAGAGATAGTACGAACCATTGGAGGCAAAATGCCCATTTTTTATTAGAAGGTCCAAATGATAGTATAAAGTGAAAATCAAGGCAGGTTGCGTCCAGAATGAAACAATGACAAAGTTATACTTCTTGGCAATTGTTGCTGGCCAGGCATAAAGAGTGTCAGTGACAAGGAAAAAGGCCGACAATGGATGTGACTTAACCATGTTATTCACGAACTCATCTATGTGGGTCGGGAAAACTTGCATGATGGAGTCCCAATACTGCTTCATATTTGAAGATCGGTCGAACTCCAATGGAAGGCCGTCGGTAATCGTCGTGTAACGGATGTCAAGACCAGATTTACGTGCTTCGGAAAAAACTTGGGGTTCAATTGTTTTGTGTGGCTGGGATTTGGTTATCTGGTGGTGGATAAACTCGGTATGGACGAAAGTGATGGTGAAGCCCTTCGAAGCAAGCTTTATTGCTAGGTGCACGAAAGGGGTTATATGACCTTGGAAAGGGAATGAAATCATGATAGCATGAAGTTTTTGGTTACTATCACCCATTTTCTTCTGGGTTTGTGTGTGTGTGTGGGAGAGAGAGAGAGAGAGAGAGAGAGGAGAGAGAGAGGCAGGCTTTAATCTACTGGCAATACTGCACAGGATAAGGTAGTTGCTTAAGTTTGGACTGTGGTGGTGAAGGTTGTATCATGGTGAAACATAGAGGCATATTTGATTTGTCCGTCAAAAAATAATATCTGAAAATAATTTTTAAAAAAAATTTTTAAAAAAAATTATATTAGATGAATTTAAAAATTAGACTTGATAATTTTAACCATTGAATAAGTAATGAGTCCTAATAAATGGTAGAACCTACAGTGAAATTAATAGTTGAGATTATCAAATCTAATTTTTAAGTCCATATAAAATTGCTCTTTAAAAAAGTGTAATTTGACTTTTTAAAAAAGTGTAATTTATTTTTTTTTTTAAGAAGAGTTTTAAAAAAGTGTAATTTCACTTTTTTCTGAGACAATGAAACTTATTTGATTAAATAATTTTATAGAATAAAAAATAGTAAAATATATTTGGACAACCTAAATATATGTTTAGACAATAGTTTAAAAATTAATAAAAAAATATAAAAAATTATTTTTAGATTGACAGTTTAAAAAAAAATTCAATAAAACCAAACTCTAAAATAAACCAATTTATATATAAATTTTTTATAAATAAAATCAATAAATTGATATATCAATATCAATTTATAACAGAGTCATTTATAAAATCAATAAATCAAACTCCAATAAATTTTTTTCAAAAAAAATAATAAATAACACCATGAATCAATTTATATATAACATAAATAAACCAAATACCAATAAATCTATGTGGATAGAAAAATTGAAAATGGACAAAAAAGTTGAAAAAATAGAACAAATTCCAGAACCCACAATCAACACATATTTGAAAAAAAAAATAACAAAGTAATAAAGAGTTAGATGTAACAAAAACTAGTAAAAAAGAAGAAGATAGATATGATATTAAACTTAAATCTGAAGAAGATCAACCCAGATCTAAAAAATGTCAACACAGATTTGAACTCAGATTTGTAGAAAATCAACCCAAATTTGAAGAAAACCTAACCAAATCTGAACCCAATTGTGTCGACATTGGAATCGACGTTGGAGCCGACACCGGAGCAAACTCAAGTTTGAACCCAGATGTGTGTGTGTGTGTTTCCTTTTGTCTGGTTTTCGCTGAAGCGTTGAGAGAGAAAAACAAAAAAAAAGAGAGAGAAAGCCAAAAAGAAACAGAGAAAGACAATAATTTTTTTTTTATAGTTGAAAATGTTATATTGCTAAGAAAGTTTGAATAAGAGACCTCGTTAATGAAAACTTGGGTTGTTCTCGTGTTTCCCTTCTTTTGTCTCTAAAACACATAAAACAAGTCTATCTTGTTTTTCATTTTTTTTGTTTTTTACATCAATCTTTTCCCACAAATTGGAGAACCAAAACCCAAACAAAACAAGTTTTTCTTATTTTTTAGAACTTTGAGATCAAAAAACTGTTTTTAAAATTCAAACCAAACATTCTTACATTTTAAAATAGGAAGTAGAAAAGACAATGATACATTAACCAACTAACAACATATAAAAAAAAGGTCAAATAATAAGTATCATTTTTGGATCGAAGTTTAAAATGAAATATTGCACGAGTTTTTAAATTTCAATTCGTCGAAATTAAAATGAGTTTTAAAATTTTGCGGCAAATTAATTAAAGGACTACTTAATTAGCACTATCACAATTTTTAGTCAGCATCAACACATCAAAGTCATGTAGTTTCCATCTTATTATTAAATCCTATTTTTTTTTGTGTATCACTCTATTTGATAATGCCAAAAGAAAAAATGCAAAGGGAGAGGATAAGAGAGATGAGTAAAGATGTGCATACCAATTTTTTTACCAAATGTCGTCTATCAAATGAATCAGGGTAGTATTAATAAGTTCCACAAAAATAAATATAAATAAATCTTAAGCTTCGTATTAATTTCTTAAGTAAAATTTTAAAAATAATTTTGAAGAGTTGCCGTCCACTTTAGACGGAGACAAAGTTGACTGATGGTGCAATTGCGTGTTTGATCAGATCTTTTCCTCGTAGGGGGGCGTTCGGGCGGTTGGATTGAATTTTGAAGTCCAATCTCATTCAAATGACTGGCAGACTAATGGGAAAAAAAAAATGTTGTTTTCTAACCCACTATCGTGAAGTGTGGGCCCCATGCATTTGAATGATTGCTAAAGTTACATAAATTTAACTCTAATTTGTCATAAAATCTTTTAATTTAAGTCAATTCAAGTTTATGTTAAGGAGAAACACGTTATTTTATAATACAATCTTGTTAGTAGAATTTCAGCTCATTTTCTATCCGATCCTCTTAGTGGGTTAAAATTATCACATATAGGTTAGCTATAAGGTGCTGTAGGATAATCCGAATTGATTATCTTTTGATTAAATAACTTTCTCAAATTTGAGAAATGTAAAGAACCCTTAGATAATATAATCCAATCCTTCCTTTTTATCAACTATTATCCAAGCAAACAAACACTCCGTAAGATCTTTCAAAAGACATACAGTTTGTCATCAATAAGAATGTAACATTTTAATATTAACTGTTAATGGCAACCTTCTCCTTTTTGTCCCCTTTAGTCAAAAATGGTCATCTTCTGGATGATTACAGAAAATAACATTATTTTTATGTGCATTCCCCCATATTTTTGTGCAAAACACAAAATTTATAATATTTTTTTATCGTCACCGTCGCCCCTACTCTGACCCCTCTGTCACAAGTACCAACTTAGGCCTAACATTATTAAAATATTATTTACTAAGGTACTAAATTGATATTTTTAAAAAATTATAAATGTAAATTAGCTAATAAATAATATGAGAAATTTAAATGTGAAGTAATTATAATCAAGTTGGAAAGTGGTTACATAAGTCACATGTTGAAATTCAATTGGGGTAGACCAATTAAATATTTTTTTCAAAATTATGAAAAATAAGACCAATTTTCCAAGCACTCTATCCCCTAAATTGATTCTTTTAAAATATAATATAGTATAGATAGATGAAGGTATTGAAAACCCCTTACAACAGGACATCTTAAATAATGCATTCAAGGTAAAAGTAAGAAAAATTGCACTATAACGAATTTAGTATCATACTAAAACAAATTAAACAAAAAATTGAGATTTAGTCGAGTCAAACAAAGAAAAGTAATAATTCAATAAGATCCAAATCCTATAGCATTGACAATTTTAAATCATAATTTAACAAGATTAAATTTTAACTTTTTATACAATATTGTTCCCCCTATCTCAAAGTAGTGGTGCACTACCAGGCCCTGTGATGGAGACAACCCACATATCCAAGTATTCAATCTTTCTCATAGTTTCTTTGATATAAGCTGCTTCAAAACTACCTCTAATTCCTATTTTGACAAGAAAAGGAGTCTTTGCCACATGGTTCTGTGTCAATGATAGCTATAATCTTATTTTGATCTAGTTTTTTTTGATATAAATTATCGATTTAACAAAAAGTGGATTAAATTAAAAAATTAGGTCAATCAATTATATATAAACAACATTAGTGGATTGTAGCTCTCCTGCATTTTAGAGCATGTGTTTTCTAATGATACGAGATTAGTCACATGCCAATCTACGACTAACAACACAAGCATAATCTATGACTATACTACAGTAGATTGATGCTGATGGGACGTTTTCGAAGATTGATGAGGAGACAACATGTGTCCTCAGCATAGTAACCTCATAGTTTCCATGGAGTGACACGTGTCCTCGACTCGAGTGCCCTCAGAGCGTCCCCTTCTTGACACGTGCCCTTGGCATTTATGTCCCCAGAACATTCTGTGCTTGACACGTGTCCTTGAGACTTATGTCCCTGGAGCATTCCCTGTTTGACATGTGTCCTCGGCACTAATGTCCCCAAAGCGTCATCTGCTTGACCCGTGTCTTTGGCACTTAGGTCCCTAGAGCATTTTCTTCTTGACACGTGTCTTCGACATAAAGCCGTTTGCACTGGCAGAACATTAACAGTTGTTTCGATGATTATTTCCTGCCAAATGATGATGTTAAATTCCCAAAGAAAAAGGGGGAAATCAGTTGATGAAAGCATACCCACGATCAAGATAAAGTATAACATCATTATTTGGGAGTGAGGTTGGCTATCAATCATTAAACACCTTTCCCAAGACAGTAAAATGGTTGGAAAGATAGTTTAGCAACCAATGAGGAAGGAGTATGGAGTACAAGACATGCATTCTTGACCCTTTAGGGGATGATGGACGAAAGCACCCTTGTGTATGTGCAACCACAACCGGAGCATATTAAATGACCCCACAAAAGGGTGGGACATATTTATTGCTCAGCCAAGTCAGAAAAGCGAACATTAAATGCTCGGGGATCTAAGTATTAAATGCAGAAGTCGTTGCCACGTGAAGGGGAAGACACTCTGCCTAAGATTTGTGCACCACATGTTGTCTTCCAAGTGAGCCAATCAGGGGTCCTTCTCGCCAAGGAACCCAGTCATCCGCCATGATTAGCCCCTAAGAGGTATAAGTAGCTCCTAAGAGGTATAAGTAGCATTCTCAAGCTCAAGTCCATGGTATGCAACCCCTTACCCAAGTAATAGAATAGTGTTTTTCCAACTCTCTATAAAATACTGACTTGATCGTCGGAGGGGTCACACAAGAAGACACTCTGATGTCCTTCTAACCCCTCTTTTTGAGTGATAGGATCTTGTTCGAGAAATCAGGAGTGAATAGATTATGTGTAGAGAGTTCCATCACCGTTCATTGCATTCCACTCGATGAAGGACATTCAACTTCCCAAGCAAGTTCGAGCTCACCAGGGGAGAGATATGTCATTTTATTCATTATGCTAGAATCATCCCGCACAATTTGGCGTCGTTTGTGGGAAAACGACCAAGTTTTCTAGTGAATGACCATGGTAAACACGCGCTTGAAAGGAAAGGGCCCTTAACAAATGAAT